TTATTTTGCTTTAGGCCTTTGCTTTGTGTAGTGTATTCCAGAGAGTGGTGAAAGGTAATAATTTGTGGTGAAAATATTAGTATCCTTAACACACTGCCTGATGGTTTAACTATTAATCAGAGACACCACGGACAATAAAGGATTTGAGCCAGAGATTAGATAGGTTTCAGTGTGGCTCTGCTGAAGCTATTGGGTGAGTCATGTAATGTTTTCTGGCCTCAGTTTCCTTTCTAAAACAAGGATGGTGAACTGGAACTGTAATTTGATTCTTCTTGAGTCTGTAAGAATCAGTATCACTTCAAAAGTGAGGTTTTACTGCCACATGCATTGAGTACAGGGTGCAGAGAGCTAAGGGCTAGGAGGATGTCCCTTATGATTTTTTGAGGTTGGCATTTAATATTTTACAGCAAAGTTTTTAGTTTAACATAATTGAACTTGTACTAGATAGGGTTAATAGGCTAGAACAAAGGGTCAAAGCATAAGGCATTAGGCTTAATTAAGGGAGAGCAGGAGTGGCAGGAGTGTGTGACAGTTAAATGGGTTTCCCACAGACTAATGTCGGTTACAGTGCAACCATGCCTCAACTTAAGTGGGTTATTTTGTGCAAAGGGCAGCAGTGATTAGCAGTTTGACATGCCAGACACTTCTGGCCAATCCCATCTGTTTTAGAGGTTAAAAAAGCACACCTTTATGAGCTGATGGATTGATTTGTGTGCCCGTCTGGTAAAGATTAGAAGTCCAAGGCCAATGCAGTAAATGTCAGTTATAGAATATCGTACTTTCTTAGTTGGCTCATTGTTTTAACCGTCAACTGTTTTATAATGGGGGATAACTGCTCTTTATGGAGTTGAAATGCAAATGGGTGGGGGAACAGGTGAGATACAAAAATATTTCCTAGATGGAGTTGTGAATGAGCATAGCCTGTAGCAGGTGTTTCAAATGGGGGTATGATGTGCTGTAGGTAATTTTGTCTCAGGGAGTGTTTTTGGCCTGTTCCTTACAGCTGGGGTCACATTGTTCTTTTTCAAGTGTTATTTGAGTAACTCTATCAATCCTAGGATTTACTCTTAGATATGAATGAATTGCTAAGTTTCTTTATTTAGGCCACTCATTTTCAGAGCAAAGTATAGTTTATCTCCATTTGAATAAGTGTTGTATTTTGTTCACTGACCTCCTGGGGAAGAATAACAGGAAAAGAAAAGAGGAAATGAAGAGAGGTGTGTACGTGCAGGTGTGTGTGTGTGCAGGTGTGCACACACACTTGCTTTGTGGGCAGCATTTACCTTGCTCACCTGAGATTGACGCATATTGTTAAGATGAAGTGTGTCTGAACCTAGACCTCAGACTTATTTCTTTCTTCAGCTTTGAGAGCTGTAAGACTGATGCCATTAACATAGTTCATTTTCAGTTCAAGGTTGTATTCCATTGTACACAAAGGCTAGCTTGTGGTTATAAAAATGACATTGACATTAACATATTCTCTATGACCAAGGAAAGGAAAATCCTACTTTCACGTGAATGAAATAGAACTTTAAATATTGTGATTATAATCAGTGAACTTTAGGAAAGTAAATAAAGCTTTCCATCATCTTATGCATGCATGGAGTGTAGCGTTTGAGAAATAACAAAAAGTTATCATCTTTATCAGAAAATTATCATCAGTGTGAGATTTGAGACAAATGAAAATGTAATCAAGGACACTGGAAACAATATTAGGCGATTCTGATTGGTCCCACTGCTTTTATCCCGGTGAGAATATGAACCTTGAATTTCCTGTTACACATTTATACAGATTGTACATATTATGACAGAGCCTGAATTTCTTCTTATAGAACAAAAATTTAAATATCTAAAGAAGATATGATGACTGAAAATTGTAAGTGCATCATTAAAGTAACTAGTATACATTAAATATATGTATGCTTTTTTTTCAAACTGCTTAACTTACATATAGAAGTTGAGGTACTTTATTTCTCATTTAGAAAGGACTAAGTAACATCCTGGTACTGGAATTTACTTAGGAATATAGTACTTAAACAGTTCTTTATGGAGTAGCATCAATTGAAATGATTTGGCTCTAATAACAAATTTAGAGAAAAAAAAGTCTGTGGGTGCCTGGGGATCGATGTGGTATAGTAACATACATCTGAAGAGATGTGGTCCTGTTTTTTGAATCATATGCAGGGTTGTGAACCAATTACCCTAATAAAAATTTATTTAAAACAAGTCTTGCCCCCTTCTGTATAGAGAAGTTAAAACATAAGTTTTATAATAATTTTGCTTCTCTTTCATGTAATCATTTCTAAATTGTAAAAAAGACTTGCTAGAGTAGTATAAAACTGAGTAGTAAATTCATTGTGGGAGATTTCTCCAATTCAGTGGATGGAATCTTTTTAAATGAATCTCCTGGTGAAGTTATATTAAACCTGAAACAATTTTACACATGCAAATTTGATAAATATTTTTAAAACATCCTAGATTCTATTCTTTGTTTTCTTCTCTTTTCTACAATAAGTTAAAATGCCAATAATTTTAACTTATTGTAGAATTTTAAACTAAAGGGGAATATTTTGTAATATTTTAACTTGTTTCTCTGTATTTTGATGCATTCTCAGTTTCTGAAGAATCACCTGTCCCCTGTAATCTAAATTTCTGTCAGTCTAGTCTATTATCTTTCTTTTACTAATGTGTTATTAGTGGTTTGAGACATGTAAGGTCTTCTCCTTTGAGCAAATTACATGAATGTATAATTGTTGAGGTTAGAAAAAATTGAAAGCAGAAACTCTTAAAATAATTAGCATCCTGGGTTTGCAATTCTTGTTCTAAAATTTGTTATAGCATAGTAACTTGAATTTTAGTTGTTAGAAATTTTTATGAGACAATATGAAAAAAGTAATAGCCCTATTTCATATTTTGATTTTAATTGCTTTTAAGGCATAGAATTGCTCTTTACCCCTATTCAGATTAATTTTAATAAGAAAGCCATAATATATTGTGAACTTCTACATTTTTGGTACATATAATATATATATATATATATATATTTATCAATAAAATCCACGTGTGTATGTGGTATTCTGTATTTCATCCTGAGGTGGCTGCACCTGTTGATTGCATTAAGCATGTGGTCTTTCCTTATGAGGGAGAGAGAAAGTGCTACCCCACCATCTAAGTGAATCATTTTTTCCTTGGTAAATTGAGTACATTTTACTTTTTTTGTATTCTGTGACCTTGCAGTCAGTGACTTCAGCCCAGAATAGTTTCAAAGTCATGTAAATGAATGCAATTAAGGTATTGCTTATCATCTTACACTGTTCAGATGAAACCTTACTGGATAGAGAGATTTGTTTGCTTTATGAGGAAGGTTGAAATAAGGTTAGATTTTATTACATAAAATGATTTGGTAATGTTTTTATTTAGCTGCTGAAAAGGTAGTATTCTATTAGGAAATGATAATGCTTTTTTTTTTTTAATCTCTAGGAGGTTTCTTCTACATTTGTTTGTTCTCACTCATAGTTATAATTCTATTGGAAGGCAATGCCTTTGAAATTTGGGAAACATTCTGACTCAATCATGATCCTAGGTATCTTTGACTTACCTAGTGGGTGACTTTCCCTGTTGTTGATGGAGGGTGCCTGTGAGCTGCTGATAAATGTGTCTAGAGGATTTGTGTTAATGTTTAGTTACTCTAGCACTTATTGCAGGAACTCAAACAGCAGGACTAGAGTCCTGGTTCACTTGGGCAGAACGGAGACCTGCTGTACTGTCATGGCACTGAGTATCTGTAGTGTACGAGATAGCAGTGCCATAGATATCAGAAGTCTTGAGGATGATAAACTGAGCGTGTGTAGAGAGTAACTAAAAGTCAAGTATTCTTCATTGCAGTTGATTTACATCCCTACACCCTTTCCTTTTATGGTATTATTTTTACCTCAGTGTGGTATATTAATAGATAAATGGTCTAAGATTCATTGATTCATTGAGCAGGCATTGACCGAGGATCAGCTTTGTGCCTTGCACCGTACTAAGTGTTGAGGGAGTCAACAGTAAATGAATGTCTCTGAATTACAGGGAGAATTACAATATGTAAGATACAGAGAAAATGATCAAGAGGCATAGTGTTGAAGAGCCTGCTTCACTAGGATATTGAGGAAGTATCAATCAAAGAAATTTGATACCTTTATACAGTTTTTGAAGGTGACTAATGGGATGGGCACTGGTAAAATGAAGTGGTAATAAAAAAACTGTTACTTAATTTGGGGAGTTTAAATTTCAGATTTATGGATTCATTTTTGGACTAAGTTATAAATCCTTGAGAACTGATCATAGGCTATGGAATAGGAATTGAGAATTCTGGAAATGTAAAGCAGATATAATGTAATGACTGATTTAAATGAAATTCTGCTATAGTGGAATCAGAGAGCTTGCTTCCTACTTCTTCATCACTAACTTGCTTTAATCTCAGCCATCACAGTAGTAAAGAATAGACTGTCTCTCTTGTTGCCAAAAACTTTGTTACTGAAAGTGTAAACTTTCCCATATGTTGATGTCATTCTATATCTAGGCTGACTCTCATTCTGAGTTTAACATATTTTGTTCTTAATAATCTAGGAAAAATATATAAGGTGTTTCATCCTCTGTTGACTATCAAATAATTCTAATACTTTTTCTCAGAATCCTTCATGAGAATTCCTCTTCATCATTAAGGATACTTGCTCACATCCTTGAGAAGAGGAGATGATCTTTATATAGTACAGAGCAGATATGTAGTATATTTTGGCAAATGTTTTTATAATGCGGATTTTTCACTGGCTGTGGTTAACAGCTGTGCCCAAGGAAAGCATGTGTGATTAGGAATATTTTATTTGCAATATATATTTTCTGTTGTTTTATTGAGATGTTTTATTTTAGTTTCTACTTAAGATTCTGTTGTAGATCATGCTGTCAGTTCTTTGAGGTAAGATGCACTTGGAGTAATTCTTATTTCTTTTAATTTTCAGGGAGTGTTTGGATTGTGAGCAATTTCAGAACTCTGTTTTCAAGGCTCATTATTTTAACAGTTCGGAGAAACACATCCAGAAGGTATTGTGTTTTGTCTCATTGCTCCGTTTTCAAAAACATAGTCAAACCTTTCAATTTATAAGAAAAAATGAACATGCAATATTTTGTTATTTATTTTTCTTTAAGTTTTGATATTGATAAGATGGTAGTTTGACACTTGTAGCAGAGAAGAGGGATGTATTTCAGTGTTTGTAAATTCTGAATGTTTTATAAATGAGATCTCTAGTTTAGATGGAACCACTTTTTTCTATTTTAAAGTGTTTACATTTTGCCTTTTTGGTTTAGAACTATTTTAAAGAATGTTTTGATTCAAAAAGATGTAAAAAGTTCTAGTTTATTTAAGATAATGTGAAATACACTTTAAATAATCAAGCAGTCTTAAAATCCTTCCTGCCTTCGATAGTGCAACCTTGTAATAGAGGGGCCACTACCAGCTGTTTTGGCATCAGTCTTCATCAGATCTATGGACATATTCAGCCAGGTCACCAGACTGCCACTAAACATCAGTTGTGCTATATTCCTTCTTTGCAGGCCCTCCCTGGTGGTGCAGGGGTTAAGTCTCAGTGCTATCAAGCTTATGGCAGCCTCTGCTGCCTGAGTTTGATCCCCAGCCAGGGAATGGCGCAGCAGACCTCTCCTGCCTTGCCCCCTCCTGCCTCAGTAGATCTGCCTGTTCTGCTCCCCACTCTGTCTCTGGTGAATCCTCTCATCTCCCTATCCCCGCACCTCTGGCCTACACCTCAGTTCTTATATGCATAAATAAATAAAAGAAACTTATATTCCTTCTTTGCATTATCATATATGGTTAGATAGGTGTAGCATAATAATTCATTACTTAGAGATCCTGAGACTCAGGACATGTGATGCATTACTTGGAAGGAAGGATATTAAGATCATAATTTGAGAAATTTATTTGCTCTGTGTTTTTGTCATTGCAACCCCAAAGCCCATGTGTTTGCACCAGCTGATTTGGTCAAAGTCAAAAGTCGAAAGTAAAGACAGTGACCTTCAACCATGTCCAAGATTTTCTTCGTAGAGTTTACTGTTATATGTCCCCTAAGTTTCATCTTTTCATTTTAGAAAACTTGCTAGCTGATTTGCTTGGAATAGAAATAAAGTAAGGACACATAAATAATTTAGTAAAATAATGTACTTGTTAAAGTTGTAGTCAACATGTTTAAATATATACTTACTTTACTGGATGCATAATCATGATGTATAATCACATGAAATAACAAAAATCAACTGTACATTTTTTTTAAATAATCACTTGTCAAGCAGTATGAATTTCTAGAATTGGATGAATAGTTTTTTATATTTTCATAGCACATTATATTGAACTTTTAAATTAGAAACTCTCTCTGTTTGAGAAACTCTATGTATTGACAAAACAGCATTTCCTTCCCTCCTGTTAGTTATAGGGAGTGGGCAATAGCATAAGAAATTTAAATAACATAATTAGGATTGTAAAACAACTTGTAAATGAATCATCAAATATTAAATTGAATTTTTACTACATATACTTCATCAGTGAAAGAAATGATACAATCAGAAACTCTGGGTCTTGAAATGAGAATTAATGATTAGAATATTGTAATTAAATATTTGAAGAAATAAACATTCAAATGGCTTATATATTTATTTTATTTGTTACTGAAAGATGACAGTTGCTTTTGTAAAGCTGTTTTGAGTTACCCATTTATGGAGATTTCTCATGTAATCACAAAATTAAGGGTATGTTTGAATAGAATTGAAGTGGTTACTATTTTTTATTGAAAAGAAAATGCAAAAAAATTAAGTTTAGCTGCAGGGTGAAGTAGTAAGATTCTCATGTAAATTCAGGATAGAAAATGGTTGGAAGTAATTCTTTTGAAAACAACTCTTGATATGTCTATCCCTTTTTTGTTAAAAATGTTATTTAAATACCATTTTACAGGACTTACAACTTTATAATAGAGTCAAATACACACTCTTACTTTCTAGCTTGATGATTATTAATGTAATCATAGCTTCCATAATTTACACCTTCCTTAGAAATCTGTCTTTCCTAGTCAATACTGCCTCCACATGATAGAAACCAATCTTTGGCATCTTCTACCATAGGTTAGTTTCGTCTGTTTTTAAACTTTTAACAATTGGAATCACTCAGTATGAACTCTTCTGTTTTTTATTTCTTTGGTCAACGTTATGTTTGTGAGAGTCATCCATGTGTAAATAAATTATATGTCCCCCTCTCTCATCATTTCTATTGCATTGTTACCATTTGTCCCTTTTACTGTAAATGGGTGTTAAATATATCAATAGTACTAGTTTGGGGATGTAAATAAGGATGATGTGAACTTCTTTATATACTTTGGTAGAAATAAGAATTACTTTCTGATGAATTTAATAAACAGGTATTGAATTGCTGCTGTGGAGTTACATATCTGTCTAACTTTAATATGATATGATAGCTACTTAGAGTAATTTTAAGGATATTTCCAAAATATCAGTGAGTGTATCTTTTAATAATAGATTTTGTCGTGAGGTAGGCTTATTTTTTTCCAACTTTCTGTAAACTTTAAAGTTGTTTTTAAGCATTAAAAATGCTTTCCCATCTATTAAAAATAAATGACCCATTTTCTGATTCCATTGTATGTATTTGGTTTATGAAACTTAGATTTATCATTACCTTGGTGAAGGAAAATAGGACATAAAATCCTCTTAATATATACTTAGGACTGTGGAAGTACTCAATGGATTTTGAAACATATTAGACAGTTCATGTAATGAAGCCTTTTCTTGTTGAATTTTTGGTTTCTTTTTTGAAGATCTAAAATAATAGATACTCTTGAGTTACAGAAAGCTTCAACATTTCTGATGAAAGATTTTGTTACTTTTAACTATTTTTAATATTAATTTATTTGGTGATTAACATGGCATTATTCATTCTAAACTTAAGTACTTGAGAAATTTTATTTTAATCTTATCCTTATTCTTTACAGTAGCACTATTCAATAGAAGTATAATGTGAACCATATATGTGATTTTTAATTTTCTAGTAGGCACATTAAAGGAAAAACTGATGAAATTAACAAATATTTTAACTGAATATCTATAAAATGTTAATTACATAGTTCATACACTACTATGAGCTATTTTACATTTTTTTCCTCATACTAGATTTTTGAAATTCAATTTACATTTTTACTTATAGCATGTCTCATTTCAGACATGTATCTAGCGGCTAGTATATTGTTTAGTCTAGACATGGAGTTATTTCTTGGGTTTTCTAAAAGGTAGTTCATTAGTCGAATTCACATATAACTGTTATCCTTAAAAATCCAAGAAAATGATGCCAATGTTGAATGATAATATAACATCTTTTAGTAGATTTCAAATATCCTGTCTTACTTTATTGTTGGAATAAATAACATTTTCTTTAATTGAACACCAGATAAAGCAGTAAGTTAGTGTTTAGGGTGCACGGAGTATGGAAGTTCCATATCTTTAAACTGTAAAATCAAAATCTGTATCAATGGATTCGTATCTTCTGTCTTCCTCTGAGTTATATGCTGAGTAGAGTTTTACTTTTTTGTTGGTTTCTTTTTTCCCTTTTTTAAGTCATGAGTCGTTTAATCTTAACATGACAAGCTGGCATATGGTATAATTCCACTATCTTCTGGAAAAAATAGTGTAATAAAAAAAAGGTCAGGTTTGGTAACATACATCTAAAATAGTGTGAACTTACACTAACTCTGAATCATACTCTGTGTTGTAACACAACACTGCTTCAATTTTAAAAATGGTTGTATGTGCACATAAATAATTGTAACTTTTTCATTAATTTGAGTATTTAAAGATTACCTAGATTATGAGGATTAATGTTTCTTTACATGTTTTTTTGCATGGTGGCATAAATTAAGATGTATAAGCTGTCATGTGAATTGCGTCAAATTTTGCTTTCAAGTTTTTTAAGTATTCAGAATTTGGAATGTGGATAAACAATTGCTGACCTGTGAAAATGGTTACATATGGAGTATGGTCAACAGGGTTAAAGCCTTTTGAATAATACTTGCCCAAATCACAAATATTTGCTATTATTTGGGGTTGTGTATCTGAGGTAGAGGTATCATAGCCCTTCCCACCAATACTTATTTTTAAAATAGTCCTACCTCTTCCCTTTTAAATGGTAAAAACTACATTTTGACAGCATGTTCTAATAATCCATTTGTTCCTGCAAATTATAGAGACATGCATTGTATTTTGGTATCTTAAAATAATATGGATCAAGGCAGACTTTGAAGAAGTATTTTAAAGAGGTATATAGCTTAAAAGAGGTATTTCTCTGTTCAGTAAAATACAGATTGTCTCTCATTGTCTTATAGTTTTCTAATTGTAGTTTTTGAAAGTATTATGTTTAAGTCACCTACAATAAGTGTTATTTTTTAAATGGTATAAAAATGTAATCAAAGACTTGAAAGAAATGATTTGTACTACTGTACTTTTAAAAGACATAATATGTGTTTATTTCATTATAGAATAGATAACTTTTGGGGATGATTTTAGCAAAAACTTTCCTGCAAGTCTGTTTACAAGGTTCTGTTTTTTTTTTTTTTATTATGCCTTTATATATTCAACACATATTGGCAGACAACCATGTGTGTGACTATTTGAAAATCATTTTCATTCTAACAGAAAGCATTTTGAATTTTGGTTTATTTTTTTCTTTTTCCATTGCCATCTTCTAAATTCAAACGTTAGTATTTAATGATTAAGACAGCTACTGTAATAGCCTTCTACCTGGTCTTTTTCCTTTTAGTTTTTATTTCCCCAATAGATTGCTCACATTGTTGCACAGTAAAACTTTGTGAAGAAAGTATTTTTATTCTACACAAAGACCTTTGCCCACAAGACAAAGGCCCAAGTCCTATAAATCCTGATTTGTCCAGCATCATATGGACTGCATATTTGACTTGAACTATTTGACATAGTTCTTTCCTTTGTTTTATAAAAAATATTTAGCCTTGCGGGTGTCTTGG